AACTCCTTCCGCTATACGTGTCGACTGTGGTATGCGGGTATCTATCTATTAGGTCGGCGCAAGAGATTTATCGTTAAATTAAAGAGCGAAGAGAAAAAAGAAAAAACAGCAAAATATATATCGAGAAGCAATTTTTATTCCAAGTATTCGTCATCTCTTCTACTTGGCGAAGAAATGGCGTTTCCTCGAAAAGAGAGCCGGTAACTTCATTCGGGACCGGAAAAGAGAGAACGGTCGATTTTTTGCGCCGACCTGACCGCGGCAACGAGATTCGCCTGTGAATTTTTACGGACGCATCTCGATCCTCCAACTTACTTTGGCCCGATGAAAAGCGGCGAGCGCGCCCACAAATTTGCGCTCGCTTTGAGCAACGATTAACGCCTATTTCATTAATGTGCGACAGCATTCGGTGTTGGGACAAGGTTGGCGCATCTATATGGGGCAATGCGTGTCTCGTAAGGCGGGCGCCGTCGTCGCAGCATCCGGTCATCACAACTCGCCCTCGTATCGCATCATGGAGAAACACGCCCAGAAACAGGTGAGCTTTTCTCTTTCTCGCTCTCCCCACAATTTCCAGCCGAACCCCCTTCTTGCGTGACTCGCACCATCGATTCGCTCACCCCCGCGTGAAACAGCGAAAACGCTCTTTTAACGAGCGTTCTGCATTGATGTTGAATTTCGAGTCGCTCACGGCAGCGACTGCTTTACGGGTGTCGCTCGACGCGCGAGTCTCACGTTCACTCAACTTTGTCCCTGACTACGTCGTCATTGTATTTTGCAAACGACGGAAACGCGCCACTTTATATCGCATGTACACGCGCCGTCGTGGATGTTCCAACAGTTATACAACTTCCAGTCTTAGCGAGACTGAAAAGCGCATAGGTAACTCTAGTTATAATGACAGGACTATATAATGTCTTCAATTATGATGATTTCAATCTTATTTGCTTATTGTTGCAACATTTATTAGATCGACAATTATACAACTTTGTCTTAGCGAGACTGAAAAGCGCATAGGTAACTCTAGTTATAATGACAGGACTATATAATGTCTTCAATTATGATGATTTCAATCTTATTTGCTTATTGTTGCAACATCTATTAGATCGACAATTATACAACTTTGTCTTAGCGAGACTGAAAAGCGCATAGGTAACTCTAGTTATAATGACAGGACTATATAATGTCTTCAATTATGATGATTTCAATCTTATTTGCTTATTGTTGCAACATCTATTAGATCGACAATTATACAACTTTGTCTTAGCGAGACTGAAAAGCGCATAGGTAACTCTAGTTATAATGACAGGACTATATAATGTCTTCAATTATGATGATTTCAATCTTATTTGCTTATTGTTGCAACATCTATTAGATCGACAATTATACAACTTTGTCTTAGCGAGACTGAAAAGCGCATAGGTAACTCTAGTTATAATGACAGGACTATATAATGTCTTCAATTATGATGATTTCAATCTTATTTGCTTATTGTTGCAACATCTATTAGATCGACAATTATACAACTTTGTCTTAGCGAGACTGAAAAGCGCATAGGTAACTCTAGTTATAATGACAGGACTATATAATGTCTTCAATTATGATGATTTCAATCTTATTTGCTTATTGTTGCAACATCTATTAGATCGACAATTATACAACTTTGTCTTAGCGAGACTGAAAAGCGCATAGGTAACTCTAGTTATAATGACAGGACTATATAATGTCTTCAATTATGATGATTTCAATCTTATTTGCTTATTGTTGCAACATCTATTAGATCGACAATTATACAACTTTGTCTTAGCGAGACTGAAAAGCGCATAGGTAACTCTAGTTATAATGACAGGACTATATAATGTCTTCAATTATGATGATTTCAATCTTATTTGCTTATTGTTGCAACATCTATTAGATCGACAATTATACAACTTTGTCTTAGCGAGACTGAAAAGCGCATAGGTAACTCTAGTTATAATGACAGGACTATATAATGTCTTCAATTATGATGATTTCAATCTTATTTGCTTATTGTTGCAACATTTATTAGATCGACAATTATACAACTTTGTCTTAGCGAGACTGAAAAGCGCACAAGTAACGCTAGTTATAATGACAGAAGTATATAACGTCTTTAATTATGATGATTTCAATCTTATTTGCTTAAAACTAAAAAGTTTTAAGAGACACAATCAATTGAGACTAATAAGGTTGTTGCTAAATTCACGTACACATCTATCTGTTTGCGTACCTACGTGCATGCGTACACATCGCGCTCGAATCGCGAGTAATGCACGAGTATGTAGCGGAAAATCCAGCTGATCGCGCGAGCGGTTAGCCGAAGGCCACGTTGAAGTTCAACGCCCTTCCCCGATGACGATTCCACTACCTGCAACGGTACCGCGCTTCGATCGCAGATATATCACTCGTGTGTGGGTCTGTCGTGTCCGTCCATCTATCCATCTATCCATCCATCCATCCATCCATCCACGGCCGCAACACCATAATGTCCTGTTTCGCATAAGGACACGCGCTCGGCGACGCGTGAACGCGCGATTACGTCGGATGTCGTTTCAAATCGCGTATCTCGCCAACTGTTCTCACGTATGCGAAATTGAATGTGCATATATACGTGACAGGTTTTGCATCTGAAATTTCTGTTCCGCGCGAACGACGCGATCGAACGCACCGCTTCACTTGTCGATGGTGAACGTTATTGCGATCGGTATTATTAATCCTTCTTCCGAGCGGCGATTATTAGCGATCGGAATCCGCGCTCGCGATGCAAGACAGACGGTGCGCGGCGGGAAAGCTGCGGGAATCGCTCACTCGCACGCTCCAACATTTTTACGCTAATGTAAGGAGAGTTCGATTATCCATCGAATATCGTGTTGGTCACACATCGATCTCAACTTTCGCGGCACGTGTTCACTTTCTCATGTGCGATTCGCGATGTTAATTAGCCTCGCACGTCCGCACGAGCGAATCGTTTCGGCACTTACAATCGTTGCCGTTTAGACCGTTCTCTCCGCATGCCAATGTCCTCAAACCGCAGATAAACGTAGTTTATCAGAATTTATAAAAACCTGAAACACCACATAGAGGTCAGAGTCACAAACTTATTTTGGGAAAATAAAAAATTAGAAATTTTAAAATTTCACCTTATATGTGTTGAGTACTTTAGTTTTAAACATTGTATATACATAAAATATTGTTTGAATTTGTGAAATTAATTTGGACGGTAGAGATCTGTAGAGGTCAATAAAGGTTAACGTCTATTCATTGATAAGATGTGCCTCTCTTCTCTCTCTCTCTCTCTCTCTCTCTCTCTCTCTCTCTCTCTCTCTCTCTTTTTCTCGCTGCTTTCGAGCAGCTCAAGCAGTGGCGAACGTTGCCGTTAGATTTACACGGTATACGAGGTCATATCTTGTCGTGGTAGCGCTTTCAGCACGGAAGCGTCACGTTCTCGTCAAGAGGTACTGATTCACGTGGCCGATCGTCGCTCTTGTTGCAGCCGACGTGCTTTCCATTGTTCACCGTCACGCGTGTCGGTTCTCCGCGGTGGTTGGTCTGCGTGCACGCCATCGCCGGAAACTGAAAGGCTTGAAAACATGATGCCGAGCACGGCGTGCTCGATGCACGGTTCAGGTGCGAAGAAGGAGAAATTCGCGGAGAACGCTCTCGCGGGCTTTGCATGCGCCGCTCCGTTTGTGTATATGTACGTATGTGTATACACGTGGGCACGTGTGGGTGTCTTTTCTCCCCATTGTCTTCTCCTTTCCGCTCCGTGCCGATTCACACGGCGAGATCGCGCTCGCTCCCGATCGGATGATGCCTCCATTGTTCCTCTCGGCGCATCTTCTCGTTAGAGACGCGAAATCGCCACTCGGCCGACTGCTCCCTCGCAATCTTTCGCATTGAAGAGAGATGTGTGTCGAGAGGCGGAAGCGTATCCTTTCTTTCGGGTACGATTGTTGCTGCAGCTAATTCCGGAGGCGCACACGTCGAGCTCTAAGGACGAGCGTGATCTCTTTTTTTGGAAATGACACTCTGTGAAAGTTGTTCCGACATTGTACCGCATTTCTCCAAAGCGATATTATTTTCTTTTCAATAGTTACTTTCTATCTCTGTTTCGAAAAAGTTGAACATTTTTATCGTTGTGGATTGTTAGTGACAATCTAAACAAGTTAGGAACAACTTTCAACAGAAACGGCTGATTTCATTTACAACGACGTAGATGCATTCGCGCAGGTTAAAGTCGTCCGCTTCGATTCGCTTCGGATCACCAGGAGCTCCCACATTCGCGAAACGTGCGTGCTTTCGCGTGCCTTTGTGCATGACGTTATGGAAAAAAGCGATAAGACGCAAAAGCATCTCTCTTATCAACAAGGTCGACTAAGAAGCACGACGTAAGAAAAAGATGAATCGAGGACTCGCATCTGGGCAGAAGTCTTATCGATATCAGGAAATTCTATATCCTTATCACGCTGATTAATCGCTCTCAGAAGTCGGTCTCATTCTTCGCGCAATCTAATCACGCGAAGATACAGTTTCTAGGAATCTTACGTAATTAACGTATCAGCGAGTCTTTTGTTTTCAGTCAACGTTACTCGACGTGTCGTGGACTCGTGCAGTAACTCGAAACAACATCTTCCCGATTCGTGCGCTTCCCATCCGAGATGGGAGGAGAACACACGTCTCAGTCTCCCATAATCGCGCGGAGATATTATAACTGATATTATAACTGATATATTCCTATAACTGATAACGTGGTGCCGCATCGCCATGACAGCCGAGACGTGCACGGAGCGCGCCGCGAAAGAAGGTAGTGATCGGTAGTAGGGGTGTTTTTTCCTTGCGCCACCTAAAATCGATTGGTCTTCCAATCCCTGAATACAGAGGCCTCGTTGCAGACAGGGTTATTTCTAGGCTCTCATAGGGGCGCGTGACTCGAGGCTTCTTCAGTCTTCCTCGAGAACGTCGTGTAGAGAATATCGAATTAAACCTTCGTCAGACTGCCGAAGTAAAAGGGCGTTTGTTAGACGATACGATTGATCATGAATTCGTGGAATCGAATCGGACGAATCGCAGGCAGTCTTCGCGCTTGAACCCCAACACACCCTATATATCGGGGGGAGGGGGAGGAGAATGTACACCTGGACGCAGGCGCATCTGCAAAATCAACCCCTCGGTCACCCGTGTAACGCGTCGGCGTCACGACGCCGGCGCAGACGACCGGATCGATCCCGCGTTCGCTTTCCTTTGCATTCCACGAGCTCTGCTCGCAAGCCAAAGCCGAGGAGCGAGAGAGCGAGCGAGACGGAAGGAGAACGCGACGCGGGTGCGGGGGTGTCGCGGCGACGGTGAAGACGACAAAGACGACGAGCGACGGCCACGTCGCTGCGTCGCCGCGCGTTCTACCACATCGCCGAGGCGTACGCCGTCGTTCCTACGATGTAACAGACCACGAAGAGGTTGCTGCCTGGCTCTCCATCGCGACCGGAACGCGCCTCTCAACATCGTCAGCCGCGCCGTCGATCGGGAAATACGCCGTATCCGGAACATGACGACGTGAACTAACGCGAGAGAGATCGATCGACGACCAGCTGTGACATTAGTCCGGAACAACACCATGGAGTATCGGTACGGCAGCACGAGATGGGAGGACGACTCGTTGGAGAACGAGAAGGGCACTGGCCTTGCGGTAAGGGATGTCTCGTCTGTTCCGCGACCGATCTTTTCCCGGACGTCCACGGAGAGCCGAACGTTTCGCGATCGTTCCACGCTTCCAAGCTACTCTTTCTCTGTATGTGTGTGTGTGTGTGTAATGATTTCATGGAATCACCGCCGTATTATTGATATCGCTAAGGCATCACACTTTTCGTGTGCGATCCGAGAGAGAGAGAGAAAAAGAGAGCTTCCCCTTCGAACTTGTTATTTTGTGTAATTCGATCTTATTAGATATTCTAATAAGGAATGCGCGGAAATGTGTTTATATTTGTTATATATATATTTCTTTTATATTTGTTTATGTGACATTTATTATTATATTTATTTATATGTGTTTATATTTGGACGAAAACACGCGATGCGTCTCGCCATGCTCGTGTCAAAAGTTGACGCAATCCTCCTCTCCAAGTGTACCAGATGACGATCCCCGATGACTCGATGAACCTGGCTTTCACATCATTTTTCGCGTACTCGTTACTCCACGTTACATCATAGCGTGCAAGCTATCTGGTGCGCTCTCGGCCGCTTCGAACCGAGCGACGGCGTCTTCCTCATCGATTCGCGATCGCCGCAAAGCGGCGTCATGCCTTGTCGCATCGGCTCCCCGGCTTTCACGTGGAGGAGAGCCGCGGCCTCGACTCACTTCTTACTTGCGAGCGCCCGAGGCGCGAACGCCGCAATCCCAGATTTGTCGGATCGCAGCCGCGGTCGTCGGTTACTCTATTTCTGGAGTTCAAACGAGGTTGGCGGCTGCACGGGTGGCTCGGGGATGAGCATCCGAGAATGACACTCGGACTCTCGCGGCGCGGATGTGCCGCCGCACATACCGATCGGAGCTGTCGCAAACGTCAGCTCGCCGCGACGCGGCGAACAATGTGCCGCTCATGTGCGTGTCGTCGCGGGCAGGAAGTCTCGTCTGCACGTAGGGTGCACCATCGGCTCCGCCGTAGTAGTTTCCCCGCGGTCGTTATATAACCTTGCGCGCGTCTGTGTAGGAGTATCGATTGATACTGTTGCAAACCGGGAATCACGCAGCGAGCCTTCGCCGAACGAGCCCCCGCGAACGCACCCCGCGAACGTGTGCGCTACGTATTCGCAATCGTGGCGAGATTTTGGGACGATGTTCATTGTCGGGTCTTGTGTCAAAGATCATCTCTCAATTGATCTTCGGGCGCAGCACAAGTCGTTTCACCGTCCACGTAGTGTCTGCTTCGGGCGAACTTAAGTACGAGATTGACTGTGAATTACCACCTGTAGTCCACGATGTTGCGAAAATACAGACAGGAAGAATAGGGTATAAGTCGAGCGCGCTCAGATTTGCAATGTCTTGCGTCCTCGTGTAATTCTGCAGTCGAATAGCAAAAGTTCCAGCCGGCCCTTGAAGCGCATTTATATCGGAATATTGATCTACCGCGGGTATAATCGTCATGAGCAATGCTGCGTGACTGAAACTGCTACCTACTTGAATTTATTTAATCCAATCTTGATACAAAACGCTCTTTGTTCGCTTGTAGAAAGGCGATAGCGATCTAGATAGCCGCTCCTCCACCTCGATTGAAGATCCGGCAATAAGAAGTTCGTCGCGCGAATCGTATCGTTTTCAGCGTATATCCGACCAGGGCGATTCGTATCAAGAAAGTCCCACGACAGTGTGTGCTCCGATAGTCTGCACACTCGAGTTCAGTCTGGCGACGAAACGTCGCGACTTGATGATTCGTTCTCTCCTGCGTGCGCGTCGTACATCGCTCGAATTCCCGCGCGTAGATTTTCCTACGACATAAATCCCAGCTCAACTAAATCAAGGGAATTATATGTTCCAGGGCGATCAGCGGGGCTCATCGAGACGCGGTACGTCGCATACGCGCGGCACCGCGATGTCCTTTGGATTCCGGCGAAGACCCGCCAGCGGGATCCCGATGCCGATCACGAGTTACGCCGGCAACGAGTCGAACCTATTGCATCCGCGATCAAAGTCGGCTGGGCCGGAGCAAGATCGCAGGCGGAACGATGACAACAGCAACTCGTCGTCCGGCCGGTCAACACCGCGACTAGCGCCACCTAAGAAAGATTCAAGTGGCATCGGCGTCAGGACAAATCGGTTCGGGTATCGACAGCCGCAGAAATTCACGAACAAGGTCGGCGACATCTGCAGCAGCCACAATATCAGCCACTACAATCAGGAGAAGCAGCAGCAACAACAACAACAACAACAACATCATCAGCAACAGCAATCAGAAAACCACTTAGCTAAGCAATCCAACAGAGTCCTGCACGTGTACAACGCGACGCCGGCGCCGAACGTTCGCTCGTCGCCGTCAAACAACGCGGCTTACAGCAGCAATTCAACCAGCAATCCAGCGGATACAAATAGGCGAGTCTCGGGAATTCCGGAGCCTGTCAGCAGGTACACTCTGCACACGAGCCACCTGCCATTACCCCAATACGCCATGAGAATGAACGACTCGAATTCGAAAATTGCCAAGACAGTAGCGAATCAGAACAAGAAAATATCCACGTCGACATATAAAGGCTCGGCCAGTTCCAAGGAGGGCTCGATGACTGAGGATTCGGGTGTCAGTAGTCAAGCAGCCTGTCTTGAAGACGACAGAATCAGATCGGTGGATTACGTGGACGGTGACTTCGTGAGGAGACGCGGCGTCGGCAGACCGAGAAACCTGCGGATGGTGGTGAGCGGCAATAGCTTTGACGTGAGAGACGTCCGGGACGACGACAGCACGGTCACGGAAATCTCCGTGATCCCGCTGCCCAAGTCCTTCGCCAGCGCTAACCTGAACACCGGCTTCGTACGCGAGAGAGCCACGCAATACCAGCGGATCGTGAGCAAAGACAACAGGTACACCGAGTCGACCACGTCTATGTCCACCACGTCTTCGGAAGGCTACGACGAGGGTTGTCTGAGCGAGGAGAAGGTCTACATGGATCGCTCGCACTCGGAGAAAATCCCCTCCATCAAGTCGGACTTCAGTCCGCCCAGTTCCGACGACCCCGAGTACGGTCACGGTGAGGCGATGGCGGATGAGTATTCGTTGAGCTCGAGCGACGACTATCAGCGTTTTGGCACCTCACAGCACGCGCAAGCCGCAGCGGTCACGACCGCGACCAAGACCGGCGGCGTGACTTCCAAAAACGCGTTGCGCTCGGTGCTGCTCACCATCGAGGATCCGGCATTCGCTGCCGCCGCCGCCATCACGACCACTTTGATAGACGACGAGACTTCCCCGGTCGACAGTCTGTTCGACAGTCCCACGGCCAGCATCACCCAATCGGACGGGAAAGTCTCCAAGAAGGACGAGCATGTCCTAGAACGCTCGGACAACACTCTGGAGGACGACAGTCCTGGCACTCCGACGAATGCCTCCAACTCGTTGAGCCTGTCGGAGGGTAGGGAGTTCTTTGACGATGAGATCGCGGATCAGCCCGGATTGATCTTCGACGACAACTCGAGGGCGAGAATCGAGACGCAGTCCGCTATGGGGAATCAAATAATCACCGAGAATAGCCACACTCTGGTCGAGACGAATTCCAAGACGAGTGAGTAAGGCTTTCGTTACTATTCTTGGAGTCATCCTCCAGAGGTGCACGTTGCGCCAAATCGCTCCTTCAAATTTTTATTCTCGATCTGATCTCTTCTAACTGAACGTTTTTGACAGTTGTGTAAAAATCCTAGCTCTGTCGAAATTTATCTTCTGTGTTTCGATAGAAATCAAATAATCGAGATACGTGTCTCGTTTACTGACGAATTGTCGTTTGCATTACAGGTGGTGCGCACATAAAGGGCGTAGCGAATAGTCCCCACCATGCGCGAATACATCGAGCCGGGAGCGTGGACACCTTATCTCCTTGCGAATCTATCGCCTCGGACGACCTAATGTTAGATTACAGCGACACGAGTTCCTACGAAGAACAACAGCGGTTAGTCATCTCTATTAATACGACATATATCCAATCGAATTAACTCTAACTATATTAATATATAGATAAAACTAATAGAAAACATCATTTTTTTCCGGGACGAATCGGAAGATCGCTACACGTTTATTACTATCTTTCAGGTTAAGTTCCAATACGGCGTTGCACGAGCTGGACGACGCCACTATAATATCGGAACTGGAGGCACAGGGCGAGGAAATGGTGAGGCAGTGGAGTTCGTTGCTGAGCACCGCGCATATGCAGGAACACGCAAATTTCAATTCCACCAACAACAACTTGAACGGTGGAGGCAGCAACAACAACAATCAGGCCGCCGTCGAATCTGGGTGTGTATTCGACCTTTTCTCATTACCTTTCATGCTTACGTTGCTCGACGTGAGGAAAGCTCACGGTGCACGACGTTGCTTCAGGTATGGTTAACAAAACGCGCCTCGATTAGGGCTACGACGTGCGTGACGTTATACTTGCAAATGATATGTAAATTATACGAAGATGTTCCTCCCCTTTCGAGCGGGATGTAAGAATATCAAATACTTCCCGTATGCGTTACAGTGTTACGCGTTCCTTTGCGTAGGTAAAATCTAAAGTCTACAGATCCCTGTTTGCCGTAGCGCTTCGTCTCATGCGTGGCTTGAATATATCCTGATCGCAACACCATCCTGTCTCTTCACATTATGTGTCTCGATCAACATCTCGCTTTCATCGATTACCTCTTACGCTCCTCCTGGTTATGTAATAGCGATTGGCCACGTAATGCATCATTTCCATTGATTTTGACGCGCTCGTAACGTTAGTGTGCAAGGAAGTAGAAAGCGCATTGTTGTAGCAGGCTTGGATTAGAAGTAGAAAGCTGCATAGGAAAATCGAAAGAGCATTTGACCGATGCTGTAATATAATTAGTTGATGATATGTGCATACTACACGAAGAAAGAAGACAAAGGATGTATCATCCAACTATTGAATCAGTATTATCCTCTGTGTATGTGTATATATGTGCGCGTGTGCGTGTGTGTGTATTCTTACAATAACTGTGAGCCGCAAACTCTTACATAGGTCTTGTTTGTTCCGAATCGACTCTGTGTAACCTTTCGAATTTTTTGTACATTATATGTCTTGTGTACAAAAAATTCTGCAGGAGTAGACATTGAAATGCCACGTGTGGAACGACCATTGCGAGAGATCGATAATGTGAAGCCACACATTTATACATATCTCGGAAACTGACATATCGTGCCCGAAAGAAAGATGCATTTGCTTTTCTTCGAAGCTTGCAATAACAAAAAGTCGATGTATTCTTTCATGATCGTATACATCGACATATATTAATTGTTATGTGCGCGTAACGCAATTCCGGGTGTCTCTTTATAGTAAGGTAATTATCTTTTCCATTCGAATAATAATTTAGCGCAAGTTTTTAGAGAGGAGGAGTGTCACACAATGCTCCATAGTAAAATTTTTTTTATATCCTGCATCATACGCATAGTATGTATAAATAGATCCGATGATGTACTTCTGCAACGGAAGATCGGAAAACTCGGTTATTGCACTCGTTTGCACCAAAAAAATCACACACTCACGTGTTCTGTTTTCTGTCTGTACACATGTAAAAGAGTCCCATATCTATCGCGTGTCTATCTTTCCCTTCTTCTCTCTCTCTCTCTCTCTCTCTCTCTCTCTCTCTCTCTCTCTCTCTCCCCCCCTTTCTCTCCCTTTCTCTCTCTCTTTCTCTCTTTCTCTCTCTCTGACAACGTTATCTAACAACGTTATTTGCATCGGTAACGTGATACACTTAGAAGTAGAATTTCGGATCGCACTATCATTCGCAAAAAATGATCTCGCACTACCGTGCCGGCTAAATTACGAGTACGTTAAGGCCACACGCACAACAACCTATTCTCTTTCGATGGCTCTTTTTACCCGGTGACTTTCTCGACGAACGCGAGGGAAAAAAAGTGCAGTACATCTTGACATTCGCACGTCAGACTCGTTCTGCCTCGTACACCGCTAACCACCCGCTCTCTTTTACCCCTCCTTCCCCCAGTAGCAGTCCCCGATCTCGTCCAACACTCGAGTCGATATCTTTGAAGCTTTCTTCGAGACGCGACGTTTCGTATTTGTCTGTTTTGTCGGCCATTTTCGTTCCGTTTTCATTAGAAGTGACAGCGATCGAACGGGTCTGAGTGTGTGCGATCGAACAGACAGACAAACCGAAGAGACGTTCTAGACGCTTCCCTCTGTCAACTGTATTTTCAACGATGTCCGCCAATGTATGTTGCTCTGCCTGGGAAGACCACATTCGCGTCGATTGTACGAGCAAGTTGAATCGCCGTTACGAACGATTCCCGATGTGTCCCTGTGAGAGATTCTTCTTCGACTGTGACTCGGTCGAATCGGAGTCCTCCTTGGGAGAGCATCTCGAATTCTCAGCGACGCGCCGATGAAAAGATCTCGCAACCGATTACGTTCGCTCTTCCCAATCAGATTTTGCGTTATCAGACGCAATCTGTCGGGTATTGGCCGACGAAAGTTTTCTTTCACTGAAATAATCGGCAAATCAACAATCGGAATTAAAATCGATAGTCATCATTTATAAAATCACGAATAACTTCGCGATTGAAATTAATTATTAATCAGTTATACATCAAGTTTAATTAATAATTAATTTCATCAGTCGATGGAATTCGTGACTTTATATGTAACAATTGATTGATTTCGATTATATATAACGATTATTGATTGACCGATTATTTTAGTCGAAGAAAATTTTCGTCGTTTGACATCCAACATTGTGTCAGACGACATATTATTACACGTACACGCGGTGCAGCCTTTTTCCTCCCCTTTGCTTGTAAAAAAAAACATACGAAAATAACATGACGGCATCCGCCACAGAAGACGCCACAATTCAGCGAGAGTATTCTGTGTTCTAGCGCGCTAGTAAAACGGGTGAAGCAATTGCAAATCCCCGATGAGGACTCCGCGGGTGGAGACTACTACCAGCTGACATACCCTAACTAAGCGAGCAGAGCCCGTCGGTCCTCCCTTGAATGTCGACTAGCAAAACTGATAACCGCACGCAGCTGATTACCGACACAGATAATATACACGGACGTGCAAGCTTGATCCGTAAGTGGTCGCGTCTCGTGAATTCGAACGAATCGCGCCGTGCTAATCGCATCAGAATCAAACGGAAAGGCGCAGGCAAAGTGTCGAGGAAAGTATACGAATTTCATCTCACTTGTCCCGTGAAAGCGAGAACGCATCTGAAGATGTGACCACTTACGAATTAAACGCGACGGACATTGGTGAGAGTGAGAGAGAGAGAGAGAGAGAGAGAGAGAGAGAGAGAGAGAGAGAGAGAGAGAGAGAGAGA